AGGTTTCTATCGTGATCGCGATTGGTCTCGTCGATTGTCTCACTGCGTCCAGTGATCAAGATATCGTCTGCGATCTCGTAGACGCCAACCAGACCCTCTAGATTGTGGTCCAGTTTCTGTTGAAAGATTTCAGGGGCTGGACTGATGCCAAAAGGCATTCGTTTGTAGCGATATTGCCCCCATGGTGTCTGGAAGGTGATTAGGTAGGAGGATTCTGAATCAAGTTCGCATTGTAGGAAACCCTCCTTACAGTCTGCTTTAGTGAAGACCTAAACACCTGACATCTGTGGCAAGATGTTGTCGATCACTGGCAGTGAGTAATGCCCCCGTTTGAGAGCATTGTTGAGAGGCTTGGGGTCGATGCAGACTCGCATCTTCCCGTTTGGTTTGCTGACAGTTACCAAACTTGATACCCAGTCAGTAGGTTCAACAACCTTGGTGATGATTTGTGGCTGCTCCATGCGATGAAGTTCATTTTTCAGTTTATCTTTGAGTGCAACTGGCACCTGCCTTGTTGGCATTACAGTTGGCGTTGCCGATTTGTCAAGTTCAAGATGGACAGTTCCTGGCATGTGACCAAGTCCTTGGAACACATCCGGATAGGCATTCTTGACGTTGTTCTTTGAGTTCATTGAGTTTTTTGCGATTGGAGTTTGAAGTCTGCGAGGTTCGTTAACCACTGCGATGTTGTGATGCTGTACGTGTATCAAGTCCAATCGTTGTGCAGTACGCGATCCAATCAGTGGTGTGCTCTGGCCCTCAATTATCACAAAGGCCACATTGTATTTGTGATGTTTTTAGGGTTCACTAGCAGGACAGTTGAAGTGCCAACGATGGGAATGGTTGCTTGATTGTTATATAGTGACAGTGTCTTCTTTGATGTATCTACCTTTGTGCCTACAGGTAAGTACATCTGTAGGTAGCACATTGCATGTTGCACCACAATCAACTTGCGTCTTAATTCTGTGACCATTGATTAGAAATGTGGCCATGATCTTATTTGGGTACCGTTTGTTTACATTGTCTTCTCAAGTTTTAATTTTCCCTATCACATCTACAGTCACGACCTCAAAATCAGAATCAGAATCAAAATCTTCAGTATCTTCATCTAGTGCATGAACTCTTGTCTTTCCTTTCACTCCATGTTTGGGCACTCTTTTTGGCACCCATTTTTGACTTGAACTTGCACCTTGTTGCCTGCATTTTTGCGAGAAATGGTTCACTTTTCCACAGGTAGTACACATCTTTCCATACGCCGGGCATTGAGTTTTCACTAACTCATGTTTTCTACCACAATATCTGCAGTTGTTTGTGAACTCTTTCTTTGTAGTGGTTCTTTGCTTTTGTTTTACAGCATTAACCTCTACTTAAACCATTGCTATGACGTCACACTATTGTTAAAAGTGTGGATTCGGAACTACGAATCTTTAGCAAAGTGTAGGTTCGGAATTACGAATCCACACTTTGAACATGTCGGACAATATTCTCCATAATGAGCATGAATAGGACCGTCTGCGTGAAAATTTGGTTTCCGAAAATTACCAATGCATCTTCACTGTCAGATTCTCCGCCATCACTGCAAAATCTACTTTTAGTCAGAAAGAAATCGTCGTCTGAATTATCCATTTTGACGTAAGGAGCCTATACACACAAAATGACTTGGTTGTACCGGTGTGGCGATACACATGCTAAACACGCCAGGAAAAAAAGTTGCAACCTGACGCCACTTCCGCGCTTGTGTACAAAGTCTATGGAGAGTCATTTTAAGTACATTGTATTTCCAAACAAAATTGGAAACATTTCTCAGTCCCAGATTCATGTATTATCATCATTTTTGCAACAAATGACCTTCATTGAGATGATATATGAAGAAAAAAGTGGCGTCAGGTTGCAACATTCTTCTGTTGACGCAATGGTTTAAGTCGAAGAATACACTCGCAAGTGTGGATTCTTAATTTACAAATTCACTCGGTGCTTCGCGCCTTGTGAATTCTTAAATTACGAATCCACACTTTCTCTTGTATTCTCCTTAACAGACTCATCTGTTTTAGTCATTTTCATGGCTTGCAAGTGCGTTATAGTTGCCTCTGCTGCTTTACAATGCATGACACATTTATCCAGTTTGAGGCCTGATTCTTGCAGCAAGTGTTTACGCAATGTGTTATCAGTTATACCACATACAATTCTATCTCCAAGGAAATCCTCAGAAAGACTTCCAAAATCACAAGTCAATGCTAACTCCCTCAATCTAACCAAATAGTGGTCAAAACGCTCATCAACTTGTTGAACGCAGTTGTTAAACTGGTATCTCTCATAGAGTATGTTTGTCTTGCCTTTGCAGTGCTCTTCCCAGAGCTTCAAGATTGTTTCCAGTTTTTGTTTGTCCTCCTCCGTTTTGTACGGGAGGTTGTTGTGTATTTCCAGGGCATCTCTGCCTATGGCAGTGATGAATGCGGCAACCCGAATTCTGTCAGGTTTGTCCACAATGTTAGTTACAATTTTATAGCTGTCCCACAGCTGCCTAAACTTTTTCCAGTTGGCTTTTAGATCACCAGTCACCTGCAATGGAGGTGGAAGTGGTATGTGTGTGCGAGTTAACACCGTATAGTAGTCATGATAGCAACTACAGAGCTTTAAGCTACAAATGCTATATAGTATACGCTATATGGACAATAGCACTGGAAGACTAGTAGCAAGTCTAATTCAAACTCAAAGAGACGATCATGGCCATTAAATTTGAGTACGATTATCTCTCAAACTAATGTAAGTGCTAACCTCAGATCTACACAAATGATAACAGAGAATCTAGTGTCCATTTAATTTACGAAGTACCATCCATAAAGTTCATTTTATGCAACCATTCCGTAGCACAATGTACATACAGTCGCATAGTCCACTCGCGAATCGAAGTGTTTGTGAGCGTACGTACGTTCCCCGTTGAATTAGATGAACGATGGAATGTTTGTTGAAACCGTGACCAAAATCACGAATCTCATGTGTACAGTGGGGGAGCAGGACGTTTCCAATCTGACACCATGTAAATTTTGATGCTATTTAAAGGATGCTGCTTGATTCTAGGTGATTGTGTTTTTAGGTAACGTTGATCTGGGTTACTTTATTAGCGGCCATTAATGCAAGACATTTAGACTGGTCGATAGAGGGCGCTAGACCAACTATAGTTACAGCCACTAAATCCAGTTTTTCTCAGCTCGGCAATTCACAGTGCTGAAGTAAGATCTTGCAGTCCTCGGTCCAATCTGACCACCATTTCCAACACTCAGCCCGGCATCAGGAAGCATGCAATCATCACAACCGTAAGTGTTATATGTGCATGTATTTACACATTAATTTTTTGCATTGAGTGATTTAGAAAACTTAAGAACTGAATAATCTAAGGCCACATCATGAACTCTTTAGATCTCTTTGTAAATTGCCATGGTTGTGAAATCAAAACGAAGAACTATTTACTTGTATGCCACCATGACAGTGATTGGATTGATTGTGTACCAATTTGTTTTTCAAATTTGTTAGACAAATAACCTTAGTGTTCTGGTGTAATTAGAATTCTAAGAAAACTAAGTGTTCAGAGAAAACAAATACAAATGTTTAGAAAATAACCAGGGAAACACTGTGAGTCATCCTTAACTGAAACCGGGTGATCATTAATTATTGATAAAAATTGACCAGTCAAGAATCTGCGTGACAAAGTACAAGCCCAAACTTGATTTGATTCATAGAACATTTGTGTGATTTTGCTAATTCATATAAGGGCTCAACAGAAAGTCAATATTTGATATGGAAGTAATTGGAATTTAAAGTTTAATTTGGATCATTGTAAATGTCATTGTAAATAATTGTACATAGTTGAATTGTTAACAATAATACTTGAACAAACCAGAAGATTGGTTGTGTCTGTTGGTTTTATCCTCTCTGTCGGATATTTTATTTGATCATTAAAAGAGGTTGTGTCATTTTTCGGGTATATGTAGCCTAAGGTGTGATGAAATAAAAACGACTATTGTGTCTGTCATGAAATGAGTACAAAAGGTACTTTTGAGAGCTGTTAATACTACGCTGCATCGGGAGTCAGATTTTATTACGTCACGATTTACTACGTTTTGTTTGCTGCCCCCAATGACGACTTTTACACAAATTGCACGTTTGGGTCGAAACAGGACCTGAAAAACAGCTCTCAAAAGTACCTTTTGTACTCATTTCATGACAGACACAATAGTCGTCTTTATTTCATCACACCTTAGGCTACATATACCCGAAAAATGACGGAAATGTCTTCAAGCATTCCAACCTCTTTAATAATTTTGAGTTTTTAGCCGGGATCACCATTTATAAAAATCATGGTAAGTCGATAGTTAGAGAAAAGGAATAAATGGTGACATCGTCATGTTTAGGCTCAACTATTGCAATTCACTATTATATGGACTTCCAGCTTCCACCATCAATCACCTTCAAAGAATCCAGAACATTGCAGCCTGTATCCTGACATGCACAAAGAAATTTGAACACATCAGCCCGGTACTCAAAGGATTACACTGGCTTCCTGTTGAGCAACGCATAATATTCAAACTCCTCCTCATCACCTACCAGTCTATCACGGAACAGCACCCCATTACATGCAACAACTCATATCGCCATACAAGCCTGTGCACCAATTACGCTCTTGTGATGCACACTTGCTTGTGGCTCCATCTTCAAGGTTGAAGACTTATGGACACAGAAGTTTTTCTGTTGTAGCCCCTCGCCTATGGAACAGTCTGCCAATAGCCCTGAGATCAAAACCCGACACTGACTCTTTCAAATCTTGTCTCAAACTTACCTCTCCATTCAAGCTCATCATTAATTGTCTCAGACCCCAGCGCAGTGATAGGTTTTCCTAGATACCAGCGCTTTATATTATTGTTTTTATTATTATTATTATTATCATTATTATATTATTATTATTATGTCTCTGGGGAAAAATGAAGAAGAAATGTCATGCTTACCCTCAACTTCTGCTTCCAAGGCCTTGACAGACACTGAAAGAAACACAAAATTCACAAACACATAAGTCTTATTTAAGTTCAGGACAAACTATATTTTCACATCAATCAATGCTATATTATGAGGCACAAAGGGTGCATGTGTATGTCACGCTTGGTTCTAGAGGGGGGCTAGCAGGGGTGGATCCAGACATTTCTGCAGGGAAGCATGCTGAAATCTAGACCATTTCTTTTCTCTGGACACTTAGGCCTCCGAAAATCAAAGGGGGGGGGGAACTCGTACCACATTTTAAATGGGGAGCGCCGATAAAATCCCACAATCATGCACACTATAATTATTACCCAATAGTGTAAAAAATCCCCTTCTCACAACTATTTTTGTTGGGGGGGGGGGGTTGCCACTGCCATTTTTTGTATGGAATTTTTTTGGGGCTTGACAAATGTTGGGGGACTAAATTAAAGCCCAAAACTCAAGTTTTGCCAATTATATAGCATTAGGTTTTGCTGCAAGTATTTTATTTAGCTCTGAATGTAAGACCGTAACGGGGAATGGTCTGAATTATGCATTTTTTGAAGTAAATTTTAAACAATTAAACAAAAAGACAAACTCTTATAGAATTTCATTTATTGTGCACTCCCTTTTGCTCTCTCAAAATAACCATTTTATCCAAATCAATTATTTGAACCTGTTATGTCCACATTTCCTTCTCAGTACCCTGCGAGGTGCGATCAATTAATTTTAGTATGTCACTACTGTGATGAACTTTTCAGTGTGAAGGCCGGGGCATCCATGTTATGGTCCAACAAAATCTCTTCAGTATAGGTGTTTTGGTGAAGATATTTCCTTCTCAAAGTGTCTAAAAAGACTATTTCAGAATTTCTTTGAAGTCGATGAGACTTGACAAACCATTATTTTCTTCACTAACATAACCAACTGCATACCGTAATTTTCGGAATATAAGCCGCGCGGAGTATAAGCTGCAGCACGCAAAAATCTGCAAATTAAAATTTGAAGTCGGCGTATAAGCCGCACCGGCGTATAAGCTGCACCGACCGCAGTGGTTTCAATTTTGTAAGGCCTCCAAATTCTAGTCAAAATGCTCTGAACCAGTTCCATTTACACTACAGAAGCTGTAAAAAGGGCCACAAAAGTTACATCAAATCATTTACAATCGATACTCTTACAAACAAATATGGAAATTGATGATGAGAAATAAACACCGGGAATTGCTGCCGGCTGCCCCGTCCGGTCCCCGGCCTTAAACATTAGCGCATGGCCCGGCAGCCTGCGCCGGTGCATGACAACATTTTCCCGCAGCACGTGAGAGAGTATGCAACCCACCCTGTGTTGTCTGACTCACTGGAGCGCTACAAATATTGCTTTGTGGCAACAGATGCTGATTTGTTTTGTCCTTAGAATAAACAGGTCCGTTTTTACCTCAAAAGTTATCAAATTTGTGTGATTACTAACGAGTAGTAACGTTAAAAATTCAAATTTTGATCATAACTTTCTTCAAAAATAGTCAAAACGATGCTGACATTTTTACGAACGAATCCATTAATTTCGTAAGGGGTGATTTAGCCCCTGATTTTGAGTTTGATCGTTTTCTTGAATACATTTCAAGAAAAAAATTTGATTGTGACGTTGAACAACTGATTATCGAATAAACAAATGTTTTGAACACCATAAAAAGTATTAGTCGTCTTTTTTCTTTTTTTTAACATCGAAAATATTGGTAATTATTGTTCCCAAGAAAGTACACCTCTTTATTACCACAAACGGTGTGGTCCACTTGCGCTATGGGGGGATATGCTACATGGCATGCACTAGCGTAACGTATGTACAGCCGGTCGCAAACATCGAAGCACGGACCATGGTCTGTGGTCGAAGACAGCTTTCACTGTACTTTTTACCGCTCGGTACCTTTACGTGGGACATGGTTTCGGTTTGTTAATGACTTTCTTAATTGATAATTCATTTCAGCAACAGATCTCTTCTTATACCAGTACATTAAATACACATTTGAATTTCATTTTTATTCTTCAAGGCTCGGCGTATAAGCTGCCTGTGTATAAGCCGCAGTAAATATTTTCATGGGCAAATTCAATGTATAAGCCACGGCTTATATTCCGAAAATTATGGTATTTTTCACATCATTTTTGTTTCATCATTTTTTTTGGGGGGGGGGGGGACATTTGAAAAGGGTTCACTGCCCATTTAAAAAAAAAATGGGAATTCTTGTATTAAAACATATATGGTTAAGTGTAAGGATATTTCAAACTTGCCAGAAATTTTACTTTCTGTGAATTTTTTTGTAAAACTCTTGTTTGGGCAAAGCACTAAAGGAGAAAATACAAAACGTTCCAATGAACTCTTAAGAGATGAATCAACGTTTCATTTTCCTTAAACAAAATCTTACCATCAAAGAGTCGAGTCATAGGCATAAATTCATCAATGAAGCTGAGAAGTTCAGGGTTGTCTTTCTTGATCTGTTGAACGACATACTTTAAGAGTGTGCATGACTTATTTCTGCCCCGGCAATCTGCTAGCTTAAAAAAAGAAAGGAAAAAAAAAGAATGAATAAAAACAAAATGAAGCTTAATAAATAATTAAATAGTTGAGCAATTATCCGCACATGGTGTTTCCGCAAACCTTTCATTATTTAGTATCTCCACCATGCAAAGCCTCAAATCTTACTTAAAATGAAGCTTATTGATTCAATAAGCCGTACGAATGACGTCACACTTTGTTTACATGTGCACTTTCCTATGGAGCCAGTGGGGGTCCATGGTCCACTGAGCACCATAGGAAAGCACACACATAAACAAAGTCTGATGTCATTAGTACTAGAGGCTTGTTATTTGTTATTGGTATTTACATCCACTGAATCTTTTTAGCTTTTGAAGACAACCAAGTGAACCACATGGTGGCAGCGCTGCTCCATGCTTTGCTGACAAAGCAGGGGTGTAAGCAGGGGTGTAAGCAGGGGGCAGCTTGGTGACATGCCACTCAAAACCAGATGGAGGAGTTCTGCAGCCGCTGGAACTAAGACTGCACCAAGGCAATTGAGGAGATCAAGGCCAGACTGACAACCCCGCCTGTTCTTGGCTACCTCGACTCCAGAACCGTTAATGGTCGAAACCGATGCTTCCTTCAGTGGACTTGGTGCTGTGTTGTCTCAGTACCAGGAGCAGGGGCGAGTAGTAATCTCTTATGCAAGTCACGGCCTCCGCCCTCCAGAGAGGAAGCTGAGCAACTACAGCTCCATGAAGCTCGAGCTCCTAGCACTGAAGTGGGCGGTGACAGAAATGTTTCATGATCACCTTCTGGGGGCAGAGTTCTTCATCTACATCAACAACAGCTAATTTAGGGGCAATGAAGATGAAGTGGGCCAACCAGCTGGCTCAGTTCAATTTCAGTATCAAGTACTGGTCCGGGAAAGCCAATGTCAATTCCAATTCAGTTAAGGAGAATACACGAGAAAGTGCGGATTCGTAATTTAAGAATTCACGAGGCGCGAAGCGCCGAGTGAATTCGTAAATTAAGAATCCACACTTGCGAGTGTGCGAGTGTATTCTTCGACTTAAACCATTACGTCAAAAGAAGTATTGGCATTAACAGTGAGTGGAGATGAAAAGACTTGGGATAAATGTTGCAACCTGACGCCACTTCCGCGATTGTGTACAAAGTCTATGGAGAGTCAAGAAGTATTTCCTAACAACATTGGAAATATTTCTCAGTCCCAGATTCATGTCTTATCATCATTTTTGCAATGAATGCCCTTCATTGAGATGATATATGGAGAAAAAAGTGGCGTCAGGTTGCAACATTTGTCCCGGCTCCTTCCGTTGACAAATTGATAGTTCAGACGATGATTTCTTTCTGACTCGAAGAAGGTTTTGCAGTGACGGCGGAGAATCTGACAGGGAAGATGCACTGGTAATTTCGGAAGGAAATTTTCACGCAGACGGTCCTATTAATGCTCATTATAGAGAACAATCTGACGTGTTCAAAGTGTGGATTCGTAATTCCGAATCCACACTTTACTAAAGATTCTTCGTTCCGAATCCACACTTTGTGACCAGCGTAACAGATTCGTAGTTCCGAATCCACACTTTTAACAATAGTGTGACGTCATAGCAATGGTTTAACTGAGCTGACAGCACTATCATGCAGAAGAAACCTCCAGGTCCTCTCCCAATCAACATCTCTTCAACAAGTCAGTGAATTACACATGAGATCTGCCCAGGTCAGTGTTTACGCAGCAACTGCTTCAGAGGTGCTGTCTGCAGTTTGTCACCCCCCCCCCCAAAATGGGGGGCAACTAGTGCGCATGCGTGACTTCTGCAGGCAATTACTGTTCATTTTCAGTCCCACACATACTACACACAAGAAAAGAGCTGACCAGTGAAGTTGCATCAAACGTCTTGCTGCATCTTTCACATCACTGGAAGAAATTTGAGAGTTTGCTTCGGAACTACTATGATTTTTTTTATTCGCGCTACATATAGTAGGCCAAAAAGGTGCCCGCGCATTACATAGCCAGTAGGAGTTGGCCTAGACGTTCCTACGGGTTCGTGGGTGATATTGGTTGGTTGTGATAACGCCCTCTCGTGGTGGCGGGTTATCGCGTTATAAACTACCAATGGCCATGAGATCACAACCTGACACTGAATCTTTCAAATCTTTCAAATCTTGTCTCAAAACTCTCCATTCAACCTTATCATTAATATTATTGTCTCAGACCCAGCGCAGTGAATAGGTTTTCCTAGATACCAGGGCTTTATAACTTTTTATGATTATAAGTATTAATATAGGTTTTCCCCGCCAACTTCACCAAGTTTTCATTCAATTTAACGCCTGGCTCATTCAATTTAGATTGAAATTGAAAGATCACGCAGATCGTCATTCGACAATCAAAAAGAATCATTCAACTTCACTATCCAAGCAATCTATCGCCTTTTAGCTTCACTCCTCCGTGTAAAAGATGCATTCAAATTAAAAGTATCGCGTTGTTCATTCCAATTTCATCTGAACCAGCAGTAAGGGGTTAATCGGGCATTCCTTTTCATTAATGGGCAAACATATTCACATTTTGTCAAGCATGTTTTAAGACAAGTTCCTGCATGTAAAATTCTGAATTATCTCGGCACAAATCATATCTGATGTCTTCAATCCGTAAATGCATACCTCTCTTTCTTAATTAAAGGGTTCGTGCAATGAATTCTTCTCAGGAACACATTTTGTGCAACTTTCTACTTCTCTGAAATGTAATATTAAAACTAGTTTGACATCCTTTTTTGGTTAGTCTTATTGCAAAGTGCACGGCTTTAAACATTCATTTAAAAGTATCCATGTTTTTCCGGACTACTGAGCGCGCTGTTGCTGTGATGTGATTTCAGGAAGACACTGTTCAGTTTAGGGGGTTTCTTTCAAATTATTCACCAAAATTTGCTAATTGAAAACATTTGTGAGAAAGGATTGCTCATCGGCTTACTGACACAGCAAAGAATCACAAAAGAAAAGAAATTTATGACAGCAAAATATCCAAAATTCTAGCAATTTATTGTTGCTGAAATGGCCATGTTACATTAATCTGCATGAAATGACATCAAAGTTTTGCTCATGAATATAGAGCTGTGCATTAGCACAAAAACGGAGAAGGCACCCAAAAACAGCCTTCAAACTGGAAAAATAAAACTTTAAAATAAGGTTAAATGTGACAAAAAGATGTACGTAGCACTGGAAACAGCATTTGTTTTCATAACGAATGCCAATGTATGTATATTTTCGTATGAATGGCATCACGGTACCAGTATCGAATGGGGAATGTGCAGTTGGATCGTGGTTTATTTCAAAACTTCTCTTGCTGTGTCGTACCTTCAGTAGCAATGTGTGAAGTCGCCACGCCTATACTAACAAACAGAAGCAGATTTTTTTTACACAAGTAAAATGTACAGCGTAGCAGTAGCAGCGCAATTTCAGCATAGCAGGTGCTAGCGCTATTTAATGCCTGGCTAGAACACTGGAACCAACACTGGCCTACTTCATTCTGTCTTGTCGCTATGGCTTGGAACGGCAGGGCAGCTTTCTATTGTTTTGCCACAAGTGACTTCTTCTTCCATATATAGTGCAGGCTTCATGAATGAAGATAAACGCACAGCAGGTTGGATGCGCGCCCAGTCATAATATGTACGCAGACAAACAAAAATCTTGTGCATGATATATATACAGTGAAGTGCGGTTAAAAAGTTAAATGTCTACATGTTAGATGGTGGCTTCCCTCCATGCCACCTTGAAGGCATTGAGTGTTGCAAAGTCACTAGGATCCTTCTTAAGGGAGTTCCATTCCTTGCTGGTACGAGGGAAGGAGGATGAGTATACTTGAGAGCTGAAGTAGGGAGTCCAAAAGCGAGAGAGATGTTGGTTCCAACTGATGTCTACCAGATCATAGCAGATTCTGTAGCGCATGGCTAGGCGTACTCTACAATTGGTCTTATATGGACTGTATGTTGATGGGATGCAGATGACTGCCTGGTAGAACGGCGTGCTGTGAGTGGAGGTAGTTTGAGTCTGTCCAGAGGATGAGGCAGAGGAGAGCACTGCATTGTCCTGAAGACTGTTAGACCAGCAACTTGCCTACGATGACTTAGAGACTGAATACCTACAATCCCGGCCAAAATGGTTGGGACACTTGGAAATAACCTTAGCCTCCAACGGTCACCAACTCCCCCGCTCCCCCGGTCAATGTTGTTTTCTTCTGGGGATGGAGCCCACACCGTGCAATGAGAGACAACATTGAGCGGGGGCTGGGGGGTTGGGGGCCCAGCGAGATTTGGCCAGGATTGTCTGAATTTTTTCATTTACCAAAATATGCATGACATGCCGTTTGGGGAGCAGTTTTCTTGAGTTTTGTTTCCAAAATATGAAATGGCGGCTGAAGGTTGAATGAAAGAACACATATTTAGGCCAGATAATAATGATTGATAGTAATACAAAAATGGAAATAAAAAATACAAATGTTCCAATTCTTTAAAATCACAACTTTATTGTTGCGTGCATCGTAACAGTTCGCCATGACGGTTCACCATGCCATTTTGGCCAACAACTGTACAAAATACAGTTTGTGTTTAACTTGAAAGGCTCATTATGATACACAAACAATATACAATCCTTGTCAATTTGTTTGTATTCACTCATTCCGTTAATTTGCCGAAAAATCCATCGGTGATCCATCCAAACCAAATGATATAAAGGAATTGAGTGACTCTGCTTATTATATAATTTACAGTGGTGAACCGTGGTTACACTATGGTTTGGATGGATTTTGCGTCCAAATAAGGGATTAAAAACAAATTGAAGAAGATGATACGTTGTTTGTGTATCCTAATACGGCTTTCACGTCGAACACAATCTGTATTTTGTAAAAATATCGGTCAAAATGACATGGTGCACCGTCATGGTGAATCGTGTGCATTGACCACCAGCGCGCGCGTGTGTGTATTATTATTTGAGCGCGTACTACGCGCAATATCCAAATCCAATATCA